CAGGGGGGGGTGTGGGGGATGGCGGGGACATGGGGGGACATGGGTGACATTGGGGGATGGTGGGGACGTGGGGGAATATGAAGGATGTGGGGGGAGATGTTGGGGAAATAAGGGGATGGCGGACATCAGGGACTTGGGGGACACTGGGGACATGGGAGGACACTCAGGACATGGGGGGACTTTGGGGACACGGAGGACACAGGTGACACGGAGGAATATGGGTAATGTGGGGAGATGTTGGGGAAATAAATGAGTGGGGGGCATCGAGGACATGGGGGACACTGGGGACATGGGGGGACATTGGGAATGTGGGAATATGGGGGATGTAGGGGACACGGGGGACATGGAGGAATACGGGGGATGTGGGGGGACACTGGGGACATCAGGGGACATTGGGGACATTGGGGAATGCCGGGGACATGGAATGGCATGGAGGTGCCTGGGGACATGGGGAATGTGGGGGACAATGGGGACATGGAATGACATGGGGGTACCTGGGGACATGGGAGACATTGGGGACATGGGGACAAGGGGGAATGTGGGGGATATGGGGCAATGCGGGGGGCCATTGGGGAAATATGGGGACATGGGGGTCACTGGGGACATGGGGAGAAATTGGGGACATGGGGGAACTTGGGGACCAGGTCTCAGTACCCCCTCCCAGTGCTCCCAGTAACCCCTGTACCCACAGCAATTCCTGCGGCCGCTGCGGCACTTCCTGCAGCCCCAAGACCTCGAGAGCATCTTCATCAACATCGAGGTGACCCCAGTAACACCCAGTGCTCCCAGTAACCCCTCCCAGTGCTCCCAGTAACTGCAGCATCCGCCAGTAACCCCTCCCTCTGCTTTTAGTAACGCCCTCTAACCCCTTCCACTACTCCCAGTAGCCCCCAGGGCTCCCAGTGCTCCCAATAACCCCGCCCAGTACTCCCAGTGACCCTTCCTAGTGCTGACAGTGATGCCCAGGAAACCGCCTCAGTCCTCCCAGTAACTCCCCAGGCCTCCCAGTGCTCCCAACAAACCTTCTCAGTGCTCCCAGTAACCCCTCCTGGTGCTCCCAGTAATCTCCAGTAATGCTTCCCACTGCTCCCAGAAATGCTTGGTAACCCCTCCCAATTCCCCCAGTAGCCCTCCCAATACTCCCAGTAACCCCAGTAACTCCCC